ACGTTTCTTGGAAGAATTACCACAGATAGAATGATAATTTATGCAATATATACATATATACATCTATATATATATATATGTAGGTATCGATATATGTATATCTTTTTCGAACAGCCTGTGGAATGTGGTCCAAGCTACGTTTGTCATAAATTGTCGTCATCTGTTGTCGACCTCAACGATTCGTCGTCGTCGTCGTCGTCGTCGTCGTTTTGTCTAGTTTTAACTGAAATACTATTAAGGCTTAGTCATGGCTATTTATAAATTTGCTACAGTGGGGTATGCACATTTCGTCACGCGACGTGTGACGTTTCTATAAGTGTGAATTGAAGTGTGTCGAAGATTGAAGATTTTGATTTAATAAAGAGTTGAGCTATGTATAATGAAATAATAAGATTCTGTTCTGTCCAAGTGAATGGTATAATAAGCTATCATATACAATATATGACATAGCTTGCTTGCTTTCCTGTTCCTGCTTATCTGTCATCTCATACAGGGTATGTAGCAGTGGTGTTTGTGTTTATCGTTTATAGTTGTTTATCGCTCAGCAATAGTTCTGTGACTCAATTGCTTCATTAGTTCAAACTGTGATAAGTTCAAGCAGTATGAAAGTAGTAAGAGCTTTATATATAGACTGTTTACTAAATATATTGGCGAGCTGCGGGCAGATTGATTGAATTCGATGGCGAATTCACTTGGTTATTTTCGTTCTTTTTCAGCTCTTATCTAATCTTAACTGTACAAGACACGAGCGTCCAAAAGTTGCCCCAGTTGAGTCAAGTCCATGGCAGTGCCCGCACACAAAGGCTGTCCATTATGTGAGTAATTTGCGTGAGAACGTTTGCAGCAGCAGCAGAGGAACTAGAGATTCTATATGGTATTAACATAGTGCTGTATATCCGCTGGAATGTACATATTAGATAATACAACAGGAGATAAAAGATCTTGCTTGAAAAAAAAAAAGAAAACGAAAGTTTGTTTTCATTTCCAATTCAATTTACGTGGCCATTGTGAGTTCTATTGTGAACGCATTTGTTGTGTGCCTTAAAATGTTTTGGCAGATTTATGAGCTGATCTTTGTGTTATGCATATAGAGTATATATACAATGCATACCCCCCTATATGGAGACCACAACTCTTCTGTAATTTAGTTTTTCAAAGGCTTTTCTTGACTTCGTTTTCGTCGCGCTTTGTGGCTTTTGTGTGTAGCCAAATATTTGTTGTCATCTTTCATGTGTGTCTCTTGTCTCTTGTCCCCCTCGCGCCTTCTGCCGCCCTTTTGGTTTATCTCTTTGTTTATTAATTGCGAGCGCGTGTGTGCGTTGCTTGCTGCTTGCTGCTTCTTCCTCTTCTGCTTCTCCATGTGTCTTAAAAAACATGTTTGGCATAAACTTTGGGCGCTCCGAAAGCAAACTTTTCCTGGAATTAAGTCGTTTATTACCGCATCTATTGCTGCGTCCGTCCAGTGCCTTGCCAGTGTTACGTAACGTCGTATAGCAGGTGCATCTCTCCGTCTCGCTCTCCCTTTCCGCCTTTGCTATTGTGAAGAGGGCATTAGGTTAAATCACCTTTGTGCCCAGCTCATCCTCAGCTTTGGCTTTGGCTTCGGCTGCGGCTCAAATTTGCATAGCTTGATTTGTGGCTTGTCACATTAGCCATAAATTATGTTTTACAACACTAATTAAGTTGTTTTCAGCGCTGATTGATTCCACTTAACTTGAACATAAGCAAATCAAGCTGGCTAAGCACTGGAGTCGAAAGTGAGTCCATTAAATTTGTGAAGAGTCTGTTGAGTCTATTGATGGATAGAAAGGCTATTTAACTAAAAGAGCAGGAAGAGTGGAAGAGCTACTCTATTGATGTAGTAGTAGTAGCTAGACTAATCACAGATCATCAAATTAATCAGATTTATAAGTTAATACTAATAATACTATGTATATATTTTGTGATATCGTGATATACTATATCTATTTCTCTGTACGAGTCGTGAGCATTAGACTTGCAATACATATAAAACTTATATGAGCAGAATTCTGTTGGAATCTCTTTTTAAGCTTTCGTCATTTCTGCTTTTGGCCAAATCAATTTCAACACTTTTTGCCTATCTCTCGCATCTTCAGATTCTGTATAGCAATCGCTAGCTTCGGCGATTCACTGGCATATTAATTATGCGATTAGGTAATGGGCCCCTTATATAACGTCCGAAATGTAAATGTGCAGAAGCACTTTAAGCCAAGCCATAAAATTATGATTGTTTTTCAATGAGTCATGGCCTGGACAGGGCTAAAACCGAAATGCAGTGTGAAGAGGCCAGCGACGGATATATTTCCCTTTTCCCTCCCCCCTCTATGCAATGCAAATAGCTAAATTTGCATGACTAGAAAGAGAGGGAAAGAGACCGGGGGACACTCACTCTTGACTATTTTGCGAGTGACTAAGCCAAAGTGTTTGGCGAGCTGTTAAAAGTAAAGTTAAAGTCTAAAAGCCTGGCTAAGAAGTGCCGAGCAGCGCATGGCTCAAAGCCATAAAGAAATATGTGTATATATACATACATATACATATCTATATATACGTACGTATTTATGTATATGTATGTGCATGTGTTTATCTATTTATATGATTCGCTCAGCGACGTTGGCCATTGCCTTGGCCAATTCATTTGCCCATTGCACTGGCAATGTGTAGGCCGCCTTTGGCCGTAAGTTAAAGTTTCGCTTTCACGAACAAACCACAAGAACCGCCAAAATCAAAAACCAACTGCGAAAAGTGCAAGTCGAGGCCTTTTTTCTTTTTTTTTTTTAAATTGGCCCCGCGGTCTCTCGACTTGAGCCGCGGGCAAAACTCCTGTGTTTTTTGCTTCTTTTGTGGCTCTCAACAATTATAATGGCTGGCAAACGTTATTTACTGCTTTTAACGTCGATTTGTGTGTCGCGGCACGCCCCTTCAGCCCCACCACCACCACCACCACCACCAAGAGCAGCAGCAACAACAGCAGCAGCAGCCACCCACTCGACTCGCTGTCCAGACAGTTGCCAACAACTTTACGCCTTCCGCCCCCTTATGGGGTGTGCATGTGTGTGTGTATGTGAGTGTGTGTGGATCACTGCGATTGTTTTCGGTTTTCACTGGGAAACCCCTTTGCCATTGCCTCTACAGGGTATATTTGGGTTGTATATTTCTGGATGCTTAATTTAGTCAATTGATCTTCGTTTTTATCTCTCCATAATCATCTCTCTCTCTCTCTCCCTCTCTCTCTCTCTCTCTCTCTCTCTCTCTCTCTCTCTCTCTCTCTCTCTCTCTCGCTCTACAGCTACATATATACCTCTCTCATTTCATTCTTTTTTATTTCTCTCGCTCTCTCTCTCTCTCTCTCTCTCTCTCTTTATATGTAGCTGTCAATCCTTCCCTCTATCTCTCATACTCTCTCTCTCTCCCTTCTCTCACTCTTACTCTCCCACTTACAGGGTATCTCATACGTTCACTCCGTATTGCACTTCCTACATATGCGTAATTGTTGTTCCTGTTTGTTGTTTTTAGCAGTTGCTGCCGCTTTTTTTTTACTATTATAACTGGCTGCTGTTTCGTGGTATCTTAAGTGGCTAAATAAACGCTTGCAGCCAATTTTGGAGCGAGTCGGAGTTGGCCTAAACGTGCTTTGGCTTGATTTGCATACGAATATGGCCCACAAGTGTTTTCGCGACTAATTTCGTATGAAAATTTGATTGCTCCCGATTAGAATCGTGTTCATTGTTTTGGCCGACAGACAGACAGGCAGACAGACGGACCACCCCCGTCCACACCCCCGGCGCCCCCTTTGGTCAGCTGAGCGAGCGTTTGTTTGTTTCTTTCGGAATGAAGTAATATTCCAGCTTCATTCTCATTTTGGGCGTTCGAGTCGTTGGCCTTCCACTGTAATTATGTAGTTGTCAATCGGAGTCGGCTTTAATTGCTGTTTACAGTTAGCATTGTTGCGTGGGTGTTATGTGAGCCATAAGTTCACATATGACATACGATATATGGCCAACAGCGCTGGCAATCGTCGGTTCCTTTGTCTGCCGATCAAGCAGATATCGCAGTCGCTTGGCAATTGCTAATTTCTGCAGCCATTTAAGATTGGTCCAGTGCTGCAATCTGATGCACGAATTCAAATATTTGATTATGTGAGTGGTTAATATCACTGCGAGAATATCTCTAAGAGAGACAAGATTTTTTATAGCCGCTGATGTTTCATAATTCCATTTAGTTTCTTAGAGTGTGAGCATTAAAGGAACTAGAATATGTGGGAATACTAGGCAGTCACAATTCATACTTCATTCTTCTATAGTTTTTTCTCTCTCACTATCTCTGTCTGTTACTGTTTCTCTCGCTCCAACTGGTGTTCCTTCTACTAATCTACTTCTCTTGCTCTCTCCTTATTTCCCTCCTTCTCTATATCCCACTCTTGTATGCGCTTCTCATACACTCAATCGCAGATTTTGTTTGTTAAGCTTGCTCACTGATCTCTGACTTCCTCGTCAGGCAAAGCAGCTTCATCAGTTGGTTAATTTATGGTCAACTCTATATGCATACACACATATATTCATTTGAAACTTGTATTTAGCATAATTGATGCGATTCAAAGTGCTTTGGACTAATTCGCGTTAAACGCGTTTTTTTCTTTTTCCCTCTCTCTCTCTCTTTTAATTACAGTGAAATTCACGATTAAATTGTGATTTTTTCTTTTTATCAAGAAAATAACGAAAAGAGTTTTGCATGAAAAGCAAACGAACGGAAAAACGAATTAAAAATCCCGCCAGGAACTGGAACTGAGTCGAAAACAGATAAAGCTACGTAAAGGTCGGAGCAGCACAGCGGAACGGAACGCATGGCATGAAACGAATGGAACGCCCAGCGATGGCAGACATGCAAATTTATGCATTTTGAAGTCCAGCTACAAAAGCAGCAGCAACAGCAACAACACTAACAACAACGAAACACGATTCAAAGCAGATTTTAAGCAAATTAATTAAATTAACAAACACATGGAAATCGGAACCAAAAACAATTAGCGCCACACTATGGAAGCTGCCACAGCAACGCGAAATCGAGCAGACGAGATGGATGAGGTGGAGATTGAAGCAGAGGCGGTGACGGTGGCGGTGGCAATGGACACGGGCGTGGCCACAGAGGAGACGTCATTTAGCAACCAAGAGACTGATAAAGCGGCCATCACAATGAAGTGCAGCAACGGAAGCACTGACATAACTAACACAACAACAACAACAACAACAGCAACAGAGACGATAGAAACGGCAACAGCAACCATATTGAGATTGGAGGATGTGGTTGCATTTGTCATGCCAGCAGTGGGCGCCACCAATCCACGCACCACCAAATCCGCAACGAAATCAGCGAGCAGCAGCCGCAGCAGCTCGCTAAGAAAACAAAAGCAAAAGCTCAACATGCTGGATGTGATTGGTTGTGGTGCAGGTGGTGGTGGTGCGGGTGGTGCAGGCGCAGGTGTGATCGGCGGTGCCGCCGGCAACGATATGAAAATATCACAATCGATGACCTCGCTGCCAGCGGACGAGCTGCAGCAGGAGCGACGTGATGTCATCCAAGCCAAGCTGCATCTGGAGCGGCCCTACAACAGCCTCAAGGTGAGTGGGGACCAGGTGGGAGACTCTGAGCGAGTCGTTTATGCTGCGTGCATAAATTTGCAATTGAGCGTTAAATGTTTGTGTGCCTGGCGCCTATCCCTCGCTCTCGCTCCCCCCTCTCCTCATATGCTGTGCTCCGCACGCCAACTAGTTGAGCTGGTTCGCGCTGACTGTGCAGGTGGATCAGGTGGGTTAGACAGAGAGGAGGGGGGGCAGGAGCTGGTCATGGCATGGCTTCAATGACATGTTGCCGTTAGAATATGAATTCTTGAGCTCGTTCTTGTCGCCAGCGTCAACGGAAATTGCTTTTAATAAATTATTAATCAATTTTAATTTCGTTATTAGCATGCGAGCGAAATGTGTTAGAGAGAGAGGGAGAGGGGGGAGAGGCGTATATATAACGGTTCATAAATTGCTATATACATATGTATGCATGTTTTTTCATATGCCAAAACGTTCCACTTAAGGAGAGTGTTTGTAGTGGAATGAAGGGAATTAATTTATTATACAATAGAAACGTTAAATATAATAGAGGGAGAGAGAGGCAGAGTGAGCGAGAGAGAGAGAGGTGGCAATAATTTTAATGGTAAATTTAAACAAGTTTTGACAGTAAGAATCAGTTTGCATAAATAAAGTCTTCTCTGTGAGTTTTAATAGCTAGAATCTCTATTTCAAATTTTGTATTAGATTAACTAAAGTGGGTTTAGACAAAATAACTAAAAGTAAACTAAACCATGGATATGTTATACATCAAAATGTATTCAAATTCATTGTTCTATGAGCATTTCTTATGCTCCCTCAACGACTTTGCTCAGCTCCCAAGAGTCACACGCTCCATATTCGCATGCCTTGCAAATGAATCGAACATCGATTGTGCCATTTGGCAATTGTATGATTTATCGATTTGATTCGCATTCTTGAGCGAAGCGGAAAGCGGATTACAATTTTACAAGCTGAGCTGTCTAGCGAATCATTCAGGGACTGCGGCGATGAGTCGAAGAGTAGAAGATTGCGCTGCAGCCGCTGTCGATTATTCAATGCAATTAATTTCGCGTCATTCCATCAAATTACGTTTGAAATTCCATTTCATTTCGATTTGTGTGTAAGCCGACGGCGAAGCTGTGTAAATGAGAAATTTTCTCCTGATTGTTGCGCGCACAAATAAAAATTCATCAATTAATTGCGCGCGCTTTGCAATGTGGAGCATTGTCAGGCAGATGTTGGGGTGAGGGAGGCAGGCCGAAGAAGTTGGCTCCGAAAATGGCTAAGCATATTATCGCGTCTATATTTGGCAGCTCAAATTACTCATTTATTAACAAGCACATTGAATCCATCTCTTTCTCTCTCGTTGCAGAAAAACTCACAGAGCAGCAGTAGCAAGTGCTCCGGCGGCAACAATAGCAACAAAATGCACCGTTATTCGTGGGGCAGCGGCCACAGCCACAGCAGCTCGACCAGTCTGCACAGCAGCGCCACCTTGGGACTCGGCTCGTCGGGCAAAGACGACCTCTGGGCGGCCATACAAACGAACTATAACTATATTATGGACACAAACCTGCTCGATACGTGCAAAGAGGCACGGTTTGAGATTGAGGAGGCGCAGCCAATGTCACGCGAGTCTAAATTTACGGGCAGTCAGTTGCATGTGAGTAGAGAGCAGACGCCACCTAGCGTTGAGTGGCTGTAATTTGTATGAGTACTAAAATGAACTTGAGCAGTTCACTGCTTAGCAAAGTTTCACACCTACTTGTACTAAAAATCAGCTAAACTGCATTCGTCTATTTAATATTATTATATATTTAATATATTCTTATTGTTTATAGATTTTGGATGAAACACAGCGGCCGGAGGGCTTGTGCGAGGATCCCAAGGAATTGCGTCGCTGGCTACGCGACATGGAGAATAAATTGGAAAATGCGCCAACCATATCGGAATTGACGCTGTATTGTAATTCGGAGCTGCAGCGCCATCTAGCAGTACACTCGGTAAGTTAATTTTCCTGTACTCTAAACATGTTGCCTAAGCTCAGGCGCAAATGTTGCCGCAACATGCGTGAGGCAGAGGCATGTTGCCAAGAGTTGAGTCGTAGAAATCGCTGGAAATAATTAATTTTAATTATTAATTGAGTTTTTAAATCATAAAAAATATGGTGTTGCGTAAGCCATGGTAATTGGACCCGTTTGAATTTTTCGGGCAATTTTCTCATAAAATGCTGCTGTTTATAATATAAAGACCAATAAATTAAACTTTCAAAGTTCAGAGAAAAACCTTCAAAGCGAGCAAGAGAGGGAGAGAGAGGAAGAGAGATACATACAGTTGATAACAAGACGAAAAACAAGTCCGAAAAAAAAAACGCCGAGATACTAATCGTAGGTAAAAGTGTAACGAAGTGAATAGAAAAATTACACGCATTTCATTTTGCTTTTCATTTGCAATGACTTTGACTTTGTGCCACATGCGGCAGCTACTTGGCCATTGAGTCTCGGCCAGGTTGTGTAACTGAGGCGATGATTGAGATCCCCGTCCTCCGAACTGCAACGACTTCCTCTCAAAATGTAAACCTTAGACAATGTTGGCTTGTTTTCATTTTCATTTATTGTACTAAAAAGTGAAAATTGCTAAGAAAATATAAAAAAAAAAGCTTACAATCGTTGCTGCTGCTGCTGCTGCTGCTATTGTCTGTGTCTGATAGAGCCCAAAGCTTGAAGCTCAGACTGCAGAAGCGGACGTCAGTGTAATTGCAACACCTTCCCAAGTTTTGTTTAATGTCTTTTTGGTAGGGGGATTATTATCTATCTATGTATACATACATATACATATGTATGTATGTAAAATATATATAGTAGATGTAAATTATGCAATGAACGAGGCCTGTGAAAAACTATGTGAGTTATTTAGTCTCAGATGGGGACTGAGGGGGCAGCCGCGCACACAAATCTAAGACGGAAGAGCTGCAATTTCTGCTTAGCCTTGGGGGCTTGGCTTGACTTGGCTTGGCTTGGCTGTGCAACATTTTCGGTGCTGATTGAACATGACCATGACAGCTTCAGACAGCTGTCTGGATAATGTGATAGCTGACTGAGTGAGAGAGAGAGGAGTGAGGTAGTGAGGGAGAGGGAGGAAGCTTTATATAAGAAAGTTTTGCATTTTGTAGCTAAAAATCAGAATCAAATCAGAAAAGAATACATTCTTCTACATTTCCACCTGTCTGCCTCAACTGTAATCCACAATTTTCCCACATTTAATCTTCACTTAGTCAATCCTCGATTGCTCCCATTTGAATCTCAGCTTGAATCGCTTTCCTAGAAAATTTCTCAAATATTTTCTTTGCTTTTCCCATTATGTTTATCAACGTGTTGCATAACAATGCCTTTTATTCGCTCCTGTTTATTTTACATTTTCTCGCTAATTGAGCATTCCGCTTAAGCGGAATTCAGCAGGTCTCGATCTGATCCCCTTTATCCAGCTGAAATGATGCATGTGGATTGCAGTTCCCACCCGCAGCTGTTGGCATTCGAGCCACGAGCCAAATGAAAGTGAACAGCAACAGACAACAAACAACAAGCAAACAGCAAACAATAACAATGCGAACTGTTGGACAAAATATGTTTGTTTGTTGCATTCGCAAAGGAAACAACAAACAAAAACAAAATCGAAAATCGAAAATCGCAATCAGCTTGCAGCTTCGGTGCATCGCCTCCGTTTTGGCCCACTGATTTACGACAATTGTTTTGTCACGTCGTCGATTGGCAACTAGAGGTGGGCAGGGTGGAGCCTGCAAGGGTGGGGAGCAGACAGAGGGGAGCTCTTGAGGCGGCAGCCGAAATGTCAATTGCCCGAAAATGGTTAAACATATTTTCAATAAGTTGTTAGGCGTTTGTCTCTGTCGATTGTTGTTGTCTCAGCAGCAGCAGCTCCCTCTCCCCGTCCACCAACGCCTACCTCCTGCAGCCCCCACTTCGCCAGCTGCCCCATCCTCACCTGCAGCTGGAGCAGTTGTCAATACGGAGGATGCATTCGCTTTGGACTCCACTTACTGCAGCCATTGGCGAATGGAAAGGCATGGGAGTATAAGAGTGGAGTGATGGACTAGCAGATGCCCTGTATCAGCTAGAGTTCTGATTGGTATATGAGGAGCTATTGCTAGAGAGGCTATAGAGAGGAGGAAAGAGAATATTCTACATCTTTTGAGAGTTTATATCGGAATAGTATGAATTCGTGAAGCAAGCTCTCCCTGTGGGCATACCCTCTCTTTCTGCCTACTCAGCCAGGGTATACATATTTGTCAGCCAGCGGCTGATTATCTCTCAAATATGAATTCATGGATGCGGGCCAGCTGCTGCTGCTCCTCTGCGCCCATAACAAGCCCCCAACGCACTCGAGTGGGGGACTTGGGAGTCCAGGCTTGGGCTGCCTGCCCCCTTGGGTATCACTGCAACTGCCAAATGCGAACTTTCCAAATATTAATTGAAAACTTTGCCACGCTGCGTTCTGGTTGCAACGAGCGCATGTTGCGCGTGTCAGCTTAACAAGGATGTCTCTGTTAAGGCCCAGCTCCAAAAATGGCCAAATGCGCAATGGCCCAAAGTGAACAGTGGGTGAGTGAGCTGCTAGGCTGGGAGATACCCTAGGAATAATGTAGGGAAACTGTTAATATCAGTAAATGTATGCAAATTTTACGAAAACGTACATAAACTCTAAAAAAAATCAGTAAGAAATGTTGACTGTACCTTAAAATACCCTGTAATTTACTTGGATATCTATTAAAGTGTCTAGGTGCTGGAGCTACTTTTGCTTTTATACAACAAAAAAAAAAAACCGTAGACTCATTAAATTCATAAACCAAATGTATAGCATATGCCAGACTACGGGATACTCCTTGATTATTAACGTCTACGATTTACAGTCGCAGTTGTGTGCACAATAATTCTTCTTAGGACTTACTCGAAATAGATACCCTACCGAAAACACCTCTTAGAGTTTGATAGACTATAAGATACCCAATAACACAGTCTTTCATAAGTGAGTTGACTGTCGAATAGTTCACTGCAGATCAACAGCAAACCATCTCTTAGACTAGAAGATATCCTATATATATACGATTCACGTTTACAGACGCATAGAGTGTCAATGGCTCCAGCTATGCATCTTTTGCTTACAGGGTATGCGGCACTGCATAGTTTTGCGTTTTTCAGCCAGTCTCCACAAGAAAAGTGAAGGTGGCTCGCCGGTATTGGCCATGCCAAAGCCTTGCCAGAGCGCAGCCAATGCGAGCCATAGCCAAAACGCTCTAACCTAATGACAATGACAATTGATTATGCGGGTTGTGCATTGCCGGATTCCAGTTTTGGGGCGCCCAGGAAGTGCCCGAGTTAGTCGCTAGCTCGGGCTTTATGGCGGCCATAATTTAAAGTCGCCGCCAATTCGATTTGGATCGGTTTGTTCGCCAGTTGTTTGTCCAATTCTACCCACTGACCATTGTTGCTCTCGTTGCCGTCGCCGTCGCCGTCGTCGATGTCCTCCGCAATCTCAGCACTCGATTTGCATAACAATTTCTGGAACTAAACCTTTCGCCCAATAAGTTAGAGCTGCGGCAATCAAGTAGCCGCAGCCCCAGTGGAGCTGCCCGCGGTCCAGTATATGCGCCAGCCGAGCAATAAAACATTGCCGAATTAGCCATAAAAATCTGTTGATTTCGCTGCGCTTTCGTTTGGCCCAGCAAATGAACCTTAAAATCAACTTTCCATTAAACGTTGCTGCGATTGCCAATGCAGTTCATATAAATAATAATCGACTCTATGCCTGCTCAATTAGGCATTGTATAATAAAGTTGATTTGCTAAATATTTCAAAATGGCTTAAATTTAATATTTGGCAACAACAGTTTGAGGATTTGTTGCAAGCTTTAAGCTATTTGGCAACTCTTAATTATTATCGATAATATATTGAAGACATGTGTCTAAAATTGAAACTCTATTCGTCTTCCTAGCCATTAACTGACTTTATTAGCTAGCTATCCATCTGCTTAACTGCCGAGTTATTAGGCCTTCACACACCTGACAACCTTGTTTTCTATTGTGAACACATTTCATCTCTGTCATCCACTTGGATCAACTCAAGCGGCAAAGAAATTTATGAAAACAATTCAATTTGAGTTTTGGCAAATGAAAACAAATCGAATGCCAATCCAATCGCAGCTCGAGAAAGCCTTTCTCCTTGACTTGGCTTGGCTTGGCTTGACACTGTTTGGCAAACACGCCCACAACTCATAAGAGCATTTCAAGATCAGGAGACGGGCCGGCGATGTGGACAGATTATCAAGTGGGGGAGGTGGAGGGGGAGTTGACACGAGCTGAAGTCGAGTTTCACTTTTCGCTATTGTTAATCTCATTTCGGCCGTTTCGTGATTTAAATTAACAATTAAAGTCGATAATTAACAAAATGAAAACATTGTAAGCTAAAAACTAAAACGAAAACGAAAACGAAAATGTAAACGTAAAAATAACAAGGGAACACCCCCAAGAAAAACAACAGCCACCACGAAATTAGAGAAAAAATCATAACAATCTATCAAAGTAACCGACAAATTTTCATGAGCCATACATAAAATGCATGTGTGTGTATGTGTGTGTGTGTGTGTGTGTGACCATAACAATGCAGACGGAGTTCATTCAAAGCCAATAACAAATGCGAGATGACGACAACACGAGGCACCGAAATGAAGTCATTACCACAGACAACAAAGCCCCAGAGTCGCGCCCAAAACCCCAGCTGATGAGGCTGGGCCGCCCCGACCCGACATGAGCGCGATCGAACGAACTCACGTCATTGGCGAGCATAGATCGACGGAGATTTCGTCATCGAGCCCGAGCTCCACACGTACCGATGGCGATTTTCAGTCCAGGTCCAAGTCAAATAAAATTTATGACTGTCATAATTACATTTTCCAGCCGCATGCGGGAAAAAATATAAAAAATAGCACAACAAAGGCGAACCGCAATCGAAAATATTTCAGCCGAAAATTTTCAAGCTCCAAATGAAGGAAATCGAAACTAAAGCTCGATAACTGTGGCCCAATCGAAATGCCAATCAAAATCCATGAAAACTGAGAAGAAAAAGTTTACAATAAAATAAATTTCGGCCATAAAATTTAAAAAGCCAAAATCAACTCCTGACCGAGCATTAAACTAACTTTCGGGCACAATTTATTTCGATATCGTTTTCGATTTCGATTCGAATACCCCGCCATGGAAGGAGGCGTGCTGTAAGATATCGCTTGATGATATCGATAAATATAAAATTGATATATATTGAACATGCAGATGAGATATTGCATATCGAAATATCGATATACTTAAGAGATGTTGATATAGTAAGAGTATCGAATAGAGAAGAGAATGAAATAAGTAGTCCTCATCTATTCCCAGGGCAACTGCCAGTCGTGCACTCCCCACTGTATCAGTTTTTGTTAAAGTTTTCTCAATTTTTCTTTTGATTTTGCTTTGTTTTTGCGAGCAGTTCGCCTCGAACAATGAAAAATGCATGTACGTTTCGAGCGAATCATTGAGGTTCATCATTAGCAGCGCCGCGATTCGGTGGCGCGAGTTGGGGAAAAGGGAAAGGCGGATGGTGTGGCAGCCACGTCTGCAGCTAAAGACGGCGAGTGTCGCCATTTAATTGGCTCAAATTCAAGACGCGACTCGGATGAGTGCCAATTGCCAAGAGCAAAGACAGAGAAGAGCAGGAGGAGGTGGAGGAGGAGGGGGAGGGACTCTAAGCAGTTAGTATTTTGTATTTGTTTCCTTTTTGTTGCCTTTTGCTGATTAATGAAGACAATATTTTGTTTTTCGCCACCTTGTTAACGACTTTATGTTGCCTTTTGTTGTTATTTTTGCAAATGACTAAGGAGAAAATTAAATTTATGAAATAGCTCATAAAATGATAAACAGAAGAAGAAGAAGCAGTAGGAGAAGGGGAAAAAGAAATGCATGAAATGACGTGACGTTATGGTGGGAGCTGATGCGGATGATGCGGCTGCTGGCTGCAGTTGATGATGAGCTGTGTAGGGTTATAAATGTGGCCAACTTTGATATATGGCATAGCAGTTAGGAGCCGTTAAAGTGCGACCCACAGCTCCAGAGAACGAGCGGCCAGTGTAGAAAGTGTGTTGGGAAAACTCTCGAATGACCCACAAAATGATTCATTTGAATGCGGAACGAACCGATGCGACGTTCTGTGTGAGGTAATTGTCATTTCATTTAGCACTAAAGTGAGAGATCCTCTTAACTGCATTGCTTAGTCAGTTACTAGTAGTAACTATCGATATCTTAGCTATCGATATCTCTGTGATGACTGAATGCTATTTGATTTGTGGCACACACAGGGAATCAGACACAACGTTTCGTTTGCATCTGTTTTGAAGTGCATTTGCATGGCGCTCGAGTGCGAACTGATAAAAGGCAAATGGAATTTGAATTGCGCTCCAGGCACAAGAGTCGCTGCGACTGGCCCGGAGATGCAGCCGCATTGAAGATAGGCCATAAAATGTGGCTGGCACTGATCGAGCTGGGAATGGAAAACCATTTGCCAGTTTGTCGAGTCGCTTGGGTCTGCTGAGAATTGCGCACGCATCGAGCGCTGCCAACTGATTGCAAATTGATGAATGCCAAAGTCTTGAAACGGGAGTTGACCAAATCGAATCCGCAATGGATCACGCGCCACTTCCTCTGGCTCTACCTGGGCTGACCTAGATTCGCTGCAGCCACTACAGAGATGCCGCGCCACAGCGACTCCCTGCCTATCTGTCTCTCTCTCGCTCTCTTGTTCTTTCTCTATATGGAGGCAACTCTCTAAAATTTATGTGTTTCGCTTGGTCCCAGAATTGTTAACAACAAATTTAAGCGGCGTTTGTCTGAAGGCCAAGAAATGGGCTTTTACTGCGTGGCTCTAGGTAGAGCTAGCTTAGCCAGAAGGCAGTCTATGTCTACCCTATCGCTGTGGGTATACGAGATTCATCTATGTATGTTTCTCTGGAAGTGCTGTGAAGTGAAGTGAATATAAAGTTTGCTTGATTGAGGCGATTAACACTTCGTTTGGGCTCATGACAGAGATGATGTCACCTGAATCCCTCAATTTGCTGATGAGAGCGAGCCAGAATTCCCTGGAGTTCTATTGAGCATTGTCCTATGCATGGAACAGAGTATATATATAGAGTACATATATCTATATCCCAAGCCATGGGGAGTACATATGGGTGAGCGATTAGAGCGAAGAAGAGTGTAAAATATTGATAGTAAGGAAGGCTTCCTCTTCATCTCTCTCTCCCACTCTCTCATCTCTTGCCTCTCTTGTCATCTTACTCTATATATCCCCTATGCAATCCCTTCACTTTGCAGGGAATTCAATCCTCGTCTTGAGCTTTATTCGCTTCATTTTCTTGTCTAAGCTAAGTGTATTTTATTGTCTGACATTGTCAATTGTTGTTGCTCGTTGCTCGCTGTTGTTGCTGTTGCTGTTGTTGGTTGTTGTCTTGTTAACGCTTTTTATTGCCTCTTCCAGTTGGCGTTTGCATTTCGGCTAGCTGCTTTATAAGTCTATTTGTCGTGGTCGCTCCATGCAGATGTATTTGCCAGATACATTCATTAGCCCCGCTTTGCAGTTACACTTACCTCGCTGTTGCCAGCCGCCCTCCCCGTTTCTCCGTCTCGCCGCCCCTCCGGGCTTACGCTGATTTATGCCCATTTGGCTGCATAATCTTTGGCCCGTCTAACGTTTCGTATTTAGACATTTCCTATATTGTCACCCCACCTGGCTGCAGACTCCCCTCCGGGCCGGCCAGTCGCTTCCAGTTCATGTTTCTACTCAGTTTTTGCGCACTTGCTTGAATTGTTTTTGGGTTAATTAAAATAACCAGGCAAATGAGCAGTTAGTCAAGCAGCAGCAGCAGCAGGAGGTGGGCAGGAGAGGTGCGGGGCGAGGGGCCAGTGGGTCAGCTGCTGCACGACGTGTGAACAGCGACGGCGAGCCAAATTAAAACTACAAGCAGCAGCAACTCGCCGAGGCCCCATCTCGTTATGACTATGAATATGCAATGGGGCCTACGACAATGATGACGATGATGATGAGATCTAACTCTAAGGTTGGGCCAGGTCTCTCTCTCTCTCCCTGTCTCTGTCTCTCTTTGTTTCTCCCATTTCTAGCTGATTGGCTTCTTGTTGGCGGGACGCGCCTGTGCGCAATTAGTTTGGCCCTCTGCAGCTGGCCCTCTTTTTAGCTATTTTGCTATTTTGGCACGTTATCAAAGCGCGGCAAACGAGTTTTTCCACACCCAATGCCAAAGCTCAGGCAGCTCAGGCTTGCTCCAGCCCATCTGCTTCGACAGTTACACGCAGCGAAAAATGTCGTAAAATGTTTGAGCGTGTAATAGAAGCAAATATTAGTTGAGATTCGCATTTGGGTAAGAGAGAAGGTTGCCTGAAGAGGAGCTCTCTATGTGAATGAAGCTTCATTAGTTCAACTTCAACTGATGAACTTCAATTACCTCAATCCCTTCCCTCTTCAATCATTCTTTAGCTGGCAAAGTCTTTCAGCCCTCATCTACTTCTACTTCTACTCCTACAGTTTTTCTCTCAGTGTATTTATGATGTTCTTCTCTATTAAAAGTTTGGCCTCCACACTGCTGCGCTGCTTCCCTTCTCCTCTGCTCCGCTCTGCTCCGCTTTGCTCTGCGCTTTGTCTCGTGTTTCGTGATTGTTTTAACAAACATCGTTTGGCAGTTGGTTCTATTCTCGTTGCACTTGGCCCGCACTGAAACTGGTTGTCAACTGCTGCAACTGTTGCAACTGTTGCAACTGGGCAACATTGGCAAATAAGGGAAAACTTGTCGGCTTGGCATGGCGTTTCCTCAGAGTGCGCACTTCTTGGAAAAGCCAAGAAGTTGGAACTGAAACAGAACTGGAGAGACGCAAAGAATCTCTTGCATTTCCTTGGGAAATATTTGTGGCATTTGTCTTTGATTTGATTTGATGCGCAATGCGCAAACTACGGCGATTCTTCCTGCTCCGGTTCAGTGGCACTTTTACCATGATCTACTTTGCCTTAGAGAGTATCTCTCCCTCTCTCTCTCTCTCTCTGTTTCATTGTCTCTCTCTTTCTACTCTCCAAGTTTGGCCAGCCACAAATCGTTGCCAGGAAATCCGATTTGTGGTAAAAGTTGTTGCGGCTAAGCGCATTTTGTGTGGGGCTTCTTGGTGTGAAATCTAAGCAAGTTATGTTGCTGCGTCGGGTGGGTGCTTGACTTGAGTCCACTCTTAATCGACAGCTTATATAATAGGGGTCACTGCCTTCGTTTAGCGGATTGCTTGTGCAAAAGAAAGGCGTGAGATATGGAGTAGAAGGGGATATGCTGAGATATGTGATGAAAGTAAATAAAGGCAAATGGACTATTGTTATAATAGCAATTGGATTTACTAATCAGAAAGTCTTTTTGTTATGGGGATATGAGTGTATTATAAATATTAGATTGACTATTTTACTCTTAACTTGGCTTTTTTTTCGCATTATTGCATATATCGATAACTAGCAATCGATGGAAGCAGTGAAAAAAATCTGTTTACCTTATCTCTTCACATTGCCATTTCTCATGAACTCTGGCAGCTCTTGCAACTCGAATTCGAACTCCTCTCAGCTCTCGCATCTCAATTCAAGCTGAGGATTGAACAAATCGATAAATGCATAATCATCTGCATTCATTTAGCTATCAACAGGGGAAGATCATAAATGCACAGCAAAAGGACGCAACATTTGTTAGCTTAGCACTCGAAACGAGTTGATTCATTAATCACTCACTCACTCACTCATTTATTCACTTGTGCCACGATAGTTGATCTCAGCTCCAAGTGCAAGTTCAGTTTACGGATTTCTTCTCTATATCTCTCGCCTGCTTATGATCTTTTATTATAGGTTGTGGCACGTTCGCCTTCTTGGGGCATGGCCTGGCTGGCCTGCTGAGTGGGTGGCTGCTAAATGCCGTTATGCACAGCTGCAAAACAGCGCTGAAAAGTGGCAGCAGCAATTGTGCGTGGGTGGCCCATAGCAGCAGCAGCAGAGCAGACAGCAGCAGCAGAGCAGACAGCAGCAGCAGAGCAGACAGCAACACTCCATGACTCCTGCTCAAGCTCTGCTCCGACTGCTCTGACTGCTCCGCCTGCTGCTTCATTAACACGCGCTCATTGTGTCGGTTCGCTTTGTTTGCAGCTTTTTGCTGCTTTTGACACTCAACACGCTGAACTTCAAAGCGCAGCGATTAATCAGAGAAAGAGAGAGAGATATGTATATATAGTTGTATATATATATAGTTATGCCAAGATTCTGTGCTCTGGCTACAAAACATTTCACACCAAGTTTCACTTGGAGGAGCCGCTCGTAAATCATCGCCCAGGCAGGACTTGTGGGCGTTGCCAGCGTCCATTAGAAGCTTACGCAGGCGCAGCTGTCGCAGATCTCACAGCTCTCAGCACTTCGGCACTCAGCTGCAACAATCTGTTGCAAGTTTCTCTCAGTTGACTCGTTGGCAGGCGTCGAGTGATTTGCTATTTTCCTATGCCCCGCCAGATTGGCGTTTTGTTTGCCGTTTGATAGTTGCTTTGTTGCTTTGTTGTTGCTGTTGTTGCTGCAGCTGGAGATTGGCCAGCGCTTTGCGGTTTGCCCAACTTTATGGAGCACTGGGTCAGCAGCAGCAGCGGCGGCAGCGGCAGCGGCAGCGGCAGCAGAATGCACTCAACTGTATAAATTCTATGAAAATTGTTTATTGTTCAGTGATTGAAATCAATTTGGCGTGCGAAAAGCTTGCGCAAAATCTAGAAAAGAGTAAAAAAAAAGAAAATAATAATAAAGGCAACTCTTTAAGCACAACAATCGCCACGGCGATCGCGCGATCTCAGCCATCAAAGCGATCTCAATTTACTCTCGAGCAGATCTCCATGTCGAGATCTTGTTAATCATTTTGCAGTTCAAAAGTTCAGCGATTTTTGTGCATTCCAAATGCCAGTTGTGGGCTCTACCACTTTGTGTATACCCTGTAAGTGCTGTAGTCTATGATGGGGTATACTGGCTTAGTAAAAGTCAGGTAACATGCAAATTAATTGTCGGGTGCAGCAATCAATCAATCGTCAGATGTGTTGCAGCTGCTGCAGTGCAAAAGGCCTTGCTAATGTTAATGGCTAACATTAATGTTAGGCGCGCGGGGCAATTGAGATTTCGAATTTCGCAGTTTATCGAGGTCTTTATGGAGGTGCCGTAATTCGGTGTAAAAGTTTATGGGCCATTTGCCAGTGCATTCCTCTCGGACTGTGCTCTAGATATTATGCAAGGCGCATTCTCATTATCGAATTACAATCAGCCACGTTTCTAATAGCCAAGTTGTTCGATTCTTGGCTGCTGCTGTTGCTGCTGTTGCTGTTGCTGTTGCCTTTCATCTATTTGGTTGAAGCTATAACTTTCCAACCACGCAGTTGCAGTTGCTGCTGTTGCTGCTGCTGTTGCTGTGGCTCGATTATTATTTTTATTGCTCGACTGAGGCATGCCGCAGAGCGCATCGACAGCAATTGCCAAGATTGCGTCCTCCTGCACAGAGTCTGTGGCTATTGGCATTTTGTGTTCATGTTTTATCTGCAACTCCTGAAGCAGCAGCAGCAGCAGCAGCAGCGGCAGCAGGAAAATGCGGAAAATTGTTGAGCTAAACTGTGATGCCTTGAAAAGGAAAACTTTACGACAGTGCAACGCATAAGCTCGCTTATCATTTGTCCCATCTCCAGCACAAAGCGCGGAGCTGACAGAGAGAACTCGAAAGTTGTTGTTAGATCTGTGTTTTTGGTTTTTGCTGCTTTACTGCAGGCAATTCACTTTTCTATTTATCATGCGAGTGGAAAATGGGAAATTAAAGTTATTGTCGAGAGACAAAAAGAAAGCAAAGAATAGAAAACTAGCGCAACGAACTGCGGCAGCAGCTGCTGCTGAAAAATGCCTTGGAAAGTGAACTGTGGAAAGAGGAAGCAGCAGCAGCAGCAGCAGCAACAGCTCACATGTGTGTTCCATAAACAAGTAGCTAGCAGAGCTGAGGAAGATCAAATACTTTAGAGCAAGTGAAGGAAATGATATCTTGCATTGATATATGTAGAACTCAGATATAAGAAATTTTGGAGTGTACTAAAAATCATTCTGAATATGCTGATTGTAGAAAATCAGAGAATGGAATGTGGAATCAAGAATGTAAGAGATCTGATTAAAAAGTATTCTAATTATGAGATTTCATTAGTTTTTGCTTGACTCTCTCTGAGCTCTTTCCTTGAATGTATATTTGTCAGACTCTTTCAACAGATCTTGCACATGTTATATGCATTTCATTTCGCAAAGTGCTCCTATTCTCTATTCAGAATATCTCAGCTCGATTCTCAGAATACGTTTTCCTAAAATCCGAAAAGAAAAGCAAACAAGAACTCGAATCGCTTCACTCATAAACTGAGGCCTAAATGTTGCTTGGCTGCCAAAACAATTAGGCAACGAATCAACTACTGTTTTGGCCACAGTTAACTGCCAAAATGCTGGCAGCTGGCAGTTGGCTTCCTGTGGCTTCAGTTTGATGTGGGCGGGTGAAAGCAACAACAACAACAACAACAACAACAAGACTGACAACATCAGCTACATCAACTAGAACAGTCAATGTTGTGCCTTGTCTTTAGCTTTGCCTTTTCGTTGCCATCAATTAGAGACGTAGCTGAAAACTGGGCCTCATTCCACTCCACTCCACTTCGAGTTGGCTGTCGGACGGACCGAGACCTTGCGCTTGAGACTTCAATTAAACTGAGCTCAGCCAGTGGGGAGAATCGTGCATAGACAATATTTATCAATCACCATTATTCTAACTGTATGCACAAAAGTTGACTTTCAGTTATGTGTTTATAAAGTAGCTGCTAAAGGATGGGAAGTGCGAGCGGGTGTAACTGACTGACAGATGCGAAAGAGAGATGCAGAGAGAGAGAGAGATTGATGAGATGAGAGTAGAGAGTATTCTATATTTCTATAACTAGAGTAACTCTGACTCAGCTATAGCTCACTGCTATGCACTACAGTAGAGTTCTATTATTGCCTACCAATATACCTTCTCTGTATGCAGTCTGACAGTGTATTGAGTAAAAGAACCGTCACTGAACCTAACCTGGCTAAAAACTCATAACAAACGCAAAGTTCAGACGGCAGTTCAGTAGAACGCGCGCACTTCCAGCTCAAAGGGGAGGCGCAAGGCGAGAGCTGAGTGAAGGGGAGGGGACGGGGAGGGGGAGGGGGAGGGGAGGGTGTCGTTGGCAGCCGCTTTGGTCGGTGCATGCCGCAATGAACTCGCAACTTTTAACTGTTTTTCCACGCCGTCGTCGTCGTCTGTGTTTGCGATTTGTGAAAGCTTCTGCCTCAGCTTCTGCTTCAGCTTCAGCTTCTGCCTTAACTTCTGGCCGCTGGAAAATGAGTTTGCGGTGCGCTTCTAGTTGCCGCCGTCACGGCTCGCGGCTGTTAGCTGTTAGCCATGCCGCTTGGCCAACAAAAGCTGAGTTCTGCAAACAATGCATAAATTGTGCGCAAGCGAAAAGGCCAAAGCGACAGAACGCGAAAGTAGTTCAAACTCTCCCAAAACGATATGCAAATATCAACTCTTTGGTTAGCAATAGAGGTTAGCCAGGCTATGCCAGCTGTGCTGATCTACGACTCGTAGATAGTCCAAGATATGATCCGTAAATTCATTTCATTCATTTTCTATAATTTCATTTTGTTAATTTTTCTCTCACTCTCTCAATTTTGTATTTTGTTTTTTTTTTTTCGGTTTATTTTCAGGTAAGCACAAAATCAACTTTTACCCGCAGCTGATCTTTTGCGTTTTACTCGTATTTTTATTGCCACGTAAGTAGCACGAACCATAAATCAGGAGAGAAGAGAGAAAAAAGCACAGCTAAAGAGTGGGGTGGGGGGATGGGAAGGTGGGGAGTTGGGGAGGCAGCTCTGTCGGCTGCTACTAAATGCTTTGATGTCAAAATGTTGTTATGCAAAACCCTTCAATGTTGCCCATGGACAGCACGTGAGCGGCTCGATATG